GTGTGATTTGCATCTCTGGCTGATGCGGACCATACTAATCGCTCCCTGCCAGTCAGCGGCGGCACCACCAGAAGTAGATCAGTATGGTCTGCATCAGCAAGAGATGCATATCGTACTGATTCCCCACTAGACCACCTAGGCATGTTTTTCATTTAATATATTGCCGGTTCGGCCATATATTAAATGGGATGTGGGCACTTGCCAGGTTTAAAGATGGCTGCCGCTACTCACGTAATTGGGAGAATGGGGCCACCAACATCCAGATCCCAGTCTTGCTGGAATTTCCCCACAGCCCTATGCTGTCAGTCTCTAGCTGGGGAGTATGATGTTTGGGGAGCTTAGCACATATGGTGAGCCCTTAAAGAACCGTCTTGAAGCCATTTTAACATTTAAAAAAAGGACAGTCTTTTATTCCGTAACAGAAAAATAAGCTTCAACAATAACACAAGGTCCGCTTGTATTCCAGCAAACAGATCACATAATCTCACCGACTCCAGGTTGTTGCACACAAAGCCTCCTCGGCTGTCTTCCCTGTGCCTCTTGCACACACAGCCTACTGGCTCCCCTGCTGACTCCTGGACACAACCTGTTTCTCTTCCCAGCAGGAGAGCCCTCATGTGCCTGCAGCCCACACCACACCAACTCCTCCCTTAGGCTGGGTTCACACCTAGGCGTTTCGAATATGTGCGTTTGTCGTGTGTTTTGTGCTGCATGTTTTTACTGCGATTCACGGTAAAAAAAAAAGTGCAACAAACGCGCGTTTTTGAGAGCTACCTGGCTGTATCCCAATGGATAAGCGTGGAAAATACACCCCAAAGAAGCTCCTGTACTTCTTTGGGTGTAGGGCGTTTTGCAGCGCGTTCCTACGCGCTGTAAAACGCCCAGGTGGGAACCATGCCGATAGGCAATCATTGGTTTTCACATTGTGAGCGTTTTACAGAGCGTAGGAACGCGCTGTAAAACACCCAGGTGTGAACCAGGCCTTAAGCTCTGGTCTGGGCTCTTAATGAGGCTGCTCTCAGCCACCTGATCACTGGCAACATCTGTGGGCATAGCGTTCTGTTTAGGCTTTTCTTCTCTTTTTTTTCTCTCTGTATCTCTATAGGTTGAACTCTATGGACTAACCATGTAACACCTGACCTCAGGGCTGGAGATTTCATCCCACCCCAAACTCTATGAAGTCTCCAAAGATCCAGATCCCAGCTACAATCCAGAAAAACCGGAAGAAACTGAAAGGTCAGCTTCTTCCCTGCAAAACTATTTTCATAGTCTCTGGCTGAGAGTCCTGGGTGACCATGTTGGCATACTCCGTGGCATTGCCACAGGAGCAAGAATAGAGACTGAGCCCAGAACATAGCTGAGCCGCTGCCCCCTGGCCATTCGCTTTGTAACCAGGAACATCCTTAACAGCAAGGCCACAGAGAGATCCAGCTGCTCCTCCTGGAAGTGACACACAACCATCTTGGAAGAGACAGCCACTGCTGTCCATAGGGAAAGCTGCCTAAGAAAGAGTGATGGAGACAGGGGAAGAGTAAATGTGTAGCTTATAAAAACAGAATAAAGGATGCCTGCCAATCCTGTCTAACCACGGTAACCAGAAAGCTGACAACTTCTGAGGCAAACAAGTGTCCTTAACCCAATAACAGGGCTCCCAATATAAAGCAACATTTAGAAGCTGAGCAATGGGGACTTTGACAAGGGGAGAGGCAGAACCTGGGCAGCAGACTGCAAAAACAAAATCAGTCAGTTAAGTGCAAAGAAAAATAACCTTATCGGAACCTGTGAGTGAGGACAGAAAAAAGAATGCAGGCACCTGAGTGGGCTTCAAACTTATAGGAAATCAGTCCTATAGGGGTAAGAGGAGGCAGCGCTTACCCACCACCAGTATGCTGCCATATTTGTGCTAGGTAAGACTAGCTGTGGATTAGTCTGTTCCATGCCATGCTGTGCATATCCATGATATTATCAGGCTCAACACTACGCCAGCATCACCAATGTCATGATTACGCACAGGCATTACTGCACTGGAAAGTTTTATTACTAGTTTTATCATCTAAGCAGCTGTACCACTGTCAAACAGCCACATGATGGCATCAAAACCAACAGAAATCCACAGCTTCAACCTCTCCTCAAAGCATTGGTCCTCTGGTGTGCCCCAATCACCCTGGTAACTAATCCAGAATGTACATACATAAAGAGACCCCACCCAACTTTAGCTCCCTTAAAGGGGTTCTAAACCCTCTGTTTTTTTTTGCCTACATCTACTGCTAGCAAGCAGGAAGGAAGACTAAGGAATATTAAGGTCGGGTCATTTATGATGGCCAGTAACTCTTCCAACATCAGACTGGACCTAATTTTCAGGTTCTTCAAAGCTCTGCACTGTACGGAAGACCAGGTAAACTCTAACGTATTTTTTACCTTTAAAAAGAATAAATCAAATGAAAATAAATAACGGTGGGTGGAACCTTTAGTTCGTGGCAGGGGTGCTTTTGAACTCTCCATGAAATTAAAATTCAAATGCCGGCACACGAGCCAAAAAGCAGTAAGAATCTGACACGTTTTAGCCCAGAAAGTCCCTTTTTTGGCTGAAACACAGCATGTTTCTTACTGCTTTTACCCTGTGATATAATAAAGGACATTTTAAGAAGAATGTCTACTTGTGTGCCGACATTTGGATTTGGAATACTCTACTGTGAACTATGTTACAGACAGAGAGTGATGCAGACATTTTAGGTCACAATTGCAACATGGGATGCTGCGAACAGTGCTTGTTTCTCTTAAAACACGTGTATAAAAGTTTAACTGCCCAGTGAAGGGCGCTCTCTGCCTGCTGGTGCTTAGATTGTTGTCCCATGAGCTGGAAAATCTATGTGCAGGATGAGGCTGAGAGTGTGTACATCGCAATGGGGTTTATAAAATATTCTAGAGATTCTGTCATTCTCGTGCTGATGGCTGTAGTCCATATTAACTAAAAAGCTTGTAATAAATCAAATGGAATTCCACCATTTATACCTATAAGGTAGTATTAAATTCATACTTTTTTCAACAATGAATCCAGAAACAAACATACATTGCCCAGCAAAGTATTTCTTTAAATTTTTGCCCAAACACTTACAGTCATCATGTTTCCAAACAGCTGGCTCCAACTCTCTGAGCTCGATTTCCTTGAACTTCCTGTCCAGTATAAGATCACAAGGGACAGAACAGTCTACAGCAGCTGTCCATATACCAGCTAGGAGAAGGGAGGAAGGAGAAGCGTTGCGTGTTTGTGGACACACACAGCTGACTGGTAGACACAAGGGTCGGCTTCATAGGACCCTGCAAAGGAAAGGAGCCACACTAAAACAGGATATCAGGGCCAGCGCTCAGAGGACCAGCTGATTCTGCAATAAACTAAAATGTTTAGGAAGAGCAGCATTCAATGTAAGTGATTTAATCAGCATTTGAAATAGCTTAAAGAACTTTTGACTTTAAAATCTCTTTAACTGCCTCCGGGCCGGCCGAAGTAGAAAAACGGCCGGCCCGGAGCTCATTTCTGGAGGTAGTGGGGTCCTGAAATATAACTGTATCCTACTGCAATACAAATTCCAACAGCAGTAACAGAAACTATTGTGATTGTGCTGTGCATTGGCACGTTTTTTGTTGGAAATGTACTTATGGTTGTATACCTAACCTACGTGGTATAAAATAGTACAAAGGCGTAACATTGTATTATCTGGTATTGTGTTGTCTAGGGCTTCAGCTAACAATTATTTGCCCAATTATTTTTTCAACTAATCAATTGGTTGTATTAAAAAATCTCTCTCTCTCTCGCACATGCTTATATTTGCATTTATGAAGCTTCCATATAGCATCAATGGATACAATTAATACAAATTGTATTAATGGCACAATTTTTTCCCTGTACAGTCTTGTTAGGTACTCTGACGAAAAAGTAAACATTTTGCTGAATGTAAAGTTTCTAAAGATGGCCGTACTTTGGCAAGGGCCAAACTGTGATGACAAGATGGGTTTTGGTCACAGCAACTCCAAAACTGCAGCTCTTATGGGATGTTCCTGGTCTGCAGCGGTTGGAACCTAACAAAAGTGGTCCAAGGTAGGAAAACTGGTGAACCGGCGACAGTGTCATGGGCAGCCATGGCTCACTGATGCACCTGGGGAAAGAAGGCTGACCTGTGTAGTCCAATCAAACAAACAGCCACACAATGTACACACAATGTACACACAATGTAAAATAAAATGTGATTCATCAGACCTGGCCACCTTATTCCATTGCTCTGTGGTCCAGTTCTGATGCTCACGTGAGTATCAGGACTAGACCACAGAGCAATGGAAGAAGGTGGCCAGGTCTGATGAATCACATTTTATTTTACATTGTGTGGCTGGCCGGGTTGATTTACGTCACTTACCTGGGGAAGAGACAACACCAGGATGCACTATGTGAAAAAGGCAAGCCAGCGGAGGCAGTGTGATGTTTTGGACACACCTTGGGTCCTGCCATTCATGTGGATGTTTCTTTGACACATACCGCTTACCTAAGCTTTTTGCTGACCAAGTAAACCCCTTCATGGAACCATAATGGCAGTGGACTTTTTCAGCAGGATAATGTGCCCTGCCACAGTGCACAAATGGTTTGAGGAACACAACAACCAGTTGAAGGTGTTGCCTTGACCTCCAAATTGTCCAGATCTCAATCCAATCCAGCATCTGTGGGATGTGCTGGAAAAACAAGTCTGATCTATGGAAGTCCCACCTCACAACTTACAGGACTTAGAGGATCTGCTACTAACGGCTTGCTTGAGTCCATGCCTCGATGGGTCAGGCCTGTTTTGGTGGTCATAATGTTATGGTATGTCATATATAATTTGCCTGAGATAATGAAATTACCTGAGATAAAGAAATAAAAAACTCCTTTAGCATGACTCTTTTTTTTTGCTTTTTATTATAAATATTCATTTCTAGTACCACATATACATTTAAGGAATAGGACTATTTATTCATCATTCACATGCTAATTTTCCATCAAAACTGGACAGTGCAATAGCAAAAGCTTGAACTGCACACATGGGATACTTATAGTCCATTGTGAATGCATCGTCAGCTACGCGACCAAACTGCATGATGATATAATCAACTGTAAAAAGAGAAATAAACAGGTTACAACCTTTTTTTTTTTTGGTAAACAACTATCATTGACTTTCAGCTTTGATCCAATTACAGCATAATTAATTTTAACAAGTCTTGATGAAGCTGCAATTTGAAACTCATGGTTGGTTTGGGTCATGACTCTCAAAAAGCTTTTCTCATAATTCCATGGTATGGTACATTATGCAAGTTGTTATGATGTTGCCAATAGAAATTGAGCTGTAAAGTGTTTTATTGTGCTTGTAGAGCTGTTATTAATAATAAACTTAAAGACATATACTGTATGGCATTCACAGAAGGGTAAGTAGAATATTAAAATACAACCCCAACAAAAATGTTTTATAGAGAGATGAAAGTATTAGAACTGATGTCATTTTTTGGTGTCACCACCTGGGTGATTTCCCCTCACCAAGGGAAATATCTCCATTGCTGTTTGTTTCCCCATTAAGAGACTATAATTAGCACTAAAAGATGTGGCAAGAGATCTTCCCAAAAGGTACACATGGCAAGAGATCTTCCCAAAAGGTACACATGGCAAGAGATCTTCCCAAAAGGTACACATGGCAAGAGATCTTCACAAAAGGTACACATGGCAAGAGATCTTCCCAAAAGGTACACACAGACAGTTAAAAAAAAAACTATAAGAGGTTCCCTACTGTCCTCCACTGTGTCCAAAACAAAACAATTGCCAGACATCTATTTTAATTAGACCATGTACATAGTATTTCATTTAACCTTTCTGGTTGGTATGTTCTGGGTGGTACACTATGCAGTAACATGCAAGTTCATATGTCTACTTCAGAGTCGGGGGTAATCGGGTGTAAACTCATGCATTGGGCATCTGATCGGGTCCGCCTGAAAAACTGACAGGCGGACCTGATTGGACCGCCTCTTTGAAACCTTACACAGAAAATAGCTAATTCCTATCTACATCCCAGTGTTGGTATTCCTATTGATTAGAGAAGAAACCACACTTTCAGAGGCACATTACAAATTTCTTTCATTTAATTTTGACCAATGATTTGAAAAAATTGCAAACAAACTTCTGGTGATCATCATGATTGGCTGCCTTAAAAGAGAACTGTGGGGTAAGTGTTTTTCCCCATAGTTCTCTTTAGGGTCACGGGAGGACATATACTACCCTCCTCCCGTGACCCAAAGCTTAGTATATCGCGGGCTACTGCTCGCGATATACTGAGAGCGCCAGAGACGGGGCGGATCCCGACAATACTGTCTGGATCCACCCAGCTGCGTGAGTGACAGCTGACTCTGCCTATCTAGAGGCAGAGCCAGCTGTGCCCGCCCCCTCCCCCGTCCGTTCCTACACTCAGCGCTGCAAGATTGGAGAGGGGAATCCCTGCGGGGAGCGGTGACTGACAGTCACCGCTCCCTGCAGGGAGATGATCGGAAAGTGAGCAAGCAACGGTATGTGTTCACTCACTTCCTGATCAATAGAGCCGACATGTGACAGCTTCTCTGTCATAGGTTGGCTCTAACTATGAGGATGAGTGGGAATCACCCACCTCAAAGTTCTCCTTTAGTAATCATGCGATCTGGAACTACACTGTGGTTCCAAGTCATTACTGTCAGCAAAAGCTCCAATACATGCTGCTACTTTAAAGCTGCAATTTAATAATACTTAGTATTGCAGAGGTAGGTGTGCCTGCAAACATTAATAATATAACTGCAGATGCTCAGAGGTTAGGAAAATATATACTGTATATATTTACAGTATGAAACTTATAATCATACATTTCATTTATATTCACTTTACAAACAATGCTATATTTAGAGTCTGTCAAAAAGCAGTAAATTGTCTTACGATCATCAGAATGGACAATTTGAAAGTTTTTGATAGAAGGGTGGGTAACACGCCCATGAAAGTTGAGCACATAGGATTGTGTTTCGTCATTCCACACAGGGCTCTTATTGTGCAGTTCAATTACATTCTCCATGTTCTTGCTCTGCCATCGGTGGAGTAGCCCATCATTGTCCTTTAAAGAGGGGACATCAGTTAAAGTAAAGGGAATAAGCATGCCAAGTTTAAATATTAGGCCAAATAAATGTATGTTAGTTCTTAACAATTTTGTGTTCATTTCATCCATACTGTATTTATGTTGATCTTTCACCATGTAAAATAAAGTATAAAGACGATTTCTATATTGCCACACAATTAAACATTTATTTAACTTACATTGCGTGGACGGATGGGCACCCTTTCACATTCTTCATCCATTCCTGGTATTAACATTGTCATTTTCCTAGGACCTTTAAAACCCAAGACATTTGTTTCCTGAATAAAAAAGGGCACAGTATTATTCCATGCATAAGAAATGACCATGACTTTCGCTAAATGAACATTGTTTTTGTGATGATAAAAGTTTAATTCTCTAAATGCACTACAGAAATTTTTTTTGCAACAAATATATTTTTTTGCTGTGATGTGAGTGATATAACTGGTAAAATGAACCTGTCGCCAGGATATAGACATTCAAATACTTTCAAATTACTTTACAGTAATCAAGCTTTAAAACAAGCACTCACTAACCTATGTAGCTTCATGCAATGTGGAGCATTTTATCCTCAAAATGAACAAAGTCACTCCATTGAGGTCCATTTCTCACCAGTTCTGCCCCATTCTGTTCTCTCTCCCTGCAGAGACACCCTGCAGCCTTATAACAAACACAATACACCTGTTATTTGTTAACCTTAGAAGGCTGGCAGGTTGCTAAGTCACTGCTGAAAAAGAGAACAAAGTACATCCCTACTCCTTGACAACTTTGGCAACAGACTTCCCAATGGCATACAAGCACGTCAGGTTGTATGTTCTATTGCAACTGCCCAACTAATGAAAACAACATCTGTTTACAACATCTTGTCAAGACTGGACCATCCTATAAATATAATTTTGTTAATTGTTTAGCTATTCTTCTGTTTTGCTTATATGCAGGTGTTACATGTTGTTTAAACAACTATTACATGTGTCAACAACTATTTTGATAATATAGTATAGTAAAGATTTAGGGATGCACCAAAACCATTTTTCCCAGAGCAAGTACGAGGACCGATACTTTTCCTCAAGTACTCGCTGATTCCAATAACCTTTTTTTTTGGTGTCATGTGACAGTTTTTCTAAAATAATACAGACTAATGATTTTAGGACAGTGCTGGAGTGCCAGGGCCCAGTCGCAGCTGCGACACTGATAGTTCTGTTACTGACTCCAAGCTGTAGTGGGACTACAAATCACAGCAATACATTATACAGCAATGCAGAATACCACAAGCTATAGAGGACTACTAATACCAGCAATACATTATACAGCAATGCAGAATACTACAAGCTACAGGGGACTACAAATCCCAGCAATACATTGTACAGCAATGCTTAATAATACCAGATTTAGAGGACTACAAATGCCAGGAATACATTATACAGCAATGCAGAATAATACCATCAGCTACAGAGTACTACAAATTCCAGCAATACATTACATAGCAAAGTATAATACAATCAGCTATAGAGGACTACAAATCCCAGCAATACATTATACAACAATGCAGAATAATACCATCAGATATAGAGAACTAAAAATCCCAGAAATACAGATGCGGAGGATCACAGAAGGGGCAGATGCGGAGGGTCTTAGCAGGGGTAGACATGGAGGATCGCAGCAGGGAAGATGTGCGGGCAGTGCTGTAAACAGGCATTGCATGGTCCCCAAGAAGTCTGCTGCGAGGTCCCTAGCAAGTGAGAGACCTTACGGCAGCCGCTTCAATTAAAAAATTTAAAGGGGTGGTATCGGTTTTGGGTATTGGGGCATTTTTAGGAGTATGAGCACTCCTGCAAATGCCCAGTATTGGCACCGATACCAATACTGGTATCGATATCTCTGCATCCCTAGATTATACTGTGTTAAACATTTAAGTCACTAGATGGGATTGCTGAGTCAATGTTAATTGAGTTCTAACAAAATACCCTCTGCTTTTTGGAAGGGTAGAAAAAAGAAGAAATATACCACTGTATGTTCACAAACGTTTACATGCATACAATGTATATAACACAGAAATGTATGGCCTGGATGCAGCTGTGTGAATTGGCACAAAGATTTGCATATTGCTGCATACAGATGCGCAAATAACTAGGAACAGCTTTTATTTGCGCCTATGTAATGTAGTCCTTACTCAAACTTTACATACTGTATGTAAACTTGAGTCCCAGCGCAGAGATGGTGGGACTTGCCGGCCGCTGGATACCATCGGATCGGTATCCGGCGGACCATGGCCAAAACTGGGGGGGCAAGTGCCCCAGCCGCTGCATTATGGGTGGATTCTGCAAGCAGCGTAGATACCCACGAACCTGGGGGAGAGGGGCTGGGACTGGATCGAACTGCGCGTTCTGCTACCCACCCCAGCCTTATGCGGCAGGTCCGCAATCATTGGAGGAGGCATTTTTTGAAAGATTTGTTTGCTGTGAGGTCCTGCGCTTCCTGGAGACATGTTATGTTCAATTATACTGTATATATTTTTTCGATCTCTTTCTATTTTTCCAACTTCATTTTTTTTGTGGTTGCTTTAGGGGGGTGTGGTTTGGGTGGTTTGTGGTTTTTTTTGGCAGGGAAGGGGGGCTAAAAAACAAATCTTGCACCAATCTTGTTCCTTAGGTCCGCCACTGGGCCTGACAGATCCTCTAACAATTGAAACTGAATATTCAATTTTCAGGAAGGAAAGAATTGGCTTCTTTTTATAGTGGCTGTCTGGTGTTTCTTTCTTGAACTCCCAACTGTGACCTGAGTTTGACCAAAGATTGTGGATATTTTCTGTATATATATATATATATATATAGAGTTTCAAACATATGGGCGGGCATACCTTTAAAGGGATTTTTGTTGTTGCCGCCACAGAGAAAATGGATACACATAAGACAAATACTAGGAAGTGCTCGGGCTGTTGACGGAGAGAGCTCTTCACCCAATGATGGACGGAGGAGAGGACCGGCAGCGGTGGTGAGAGCAGGGGAGTGGAACATTCTTTATGCCTACATTATTATTCAACTTGTGAGTGTTTTTAATCCATTGTTTTTAATAAACTAGTTTTTAGTCACACACTACGGCACACATTCGCCGTGGCATCGTTTTGATAAGCTTTTGCAACTATTTCATTAACCCCTTAAGGACCCATGATGGAATTATCCCGTCATGGGTCATGTAAATAGAAATATGCTGACTGGTGCCAAGGAAACAACTCGGAAGGAAGAACTATAATGAATCTAATCAGACATGGCAGCAGGTGGATATAGATGAATGCATACATTCTGCTACTTTACAAAATAATTGGAAGACCAAGAATGTAAAAGACTTGTTTAAAGCCTCAATACTTAATTTGCCCTTGATCACATGAATGGGGAGCTCTCCCATAAAGTCAATTAAACTGTCACACGTCGGCTCAATAGATCGGGAAGTGAGCGAACACACACCGTCACTCGCTCACTTCTCAATCATCTCCCTGCAGAGAGCCGTGACTGTCACTCACGGCTCCCTGCATGGATTCTCCCCTCCCCGCTCCGATCCTCTAGCACTGACTGGTGGAACGGACAGGGGAGGGAGCGGGTACAACTGGCTCTGCCTCTAGATAGGCAGAGCCAGCTGTCACTCACGCAGTTGTGTGGATCTCGACAGTAATGTTGGGATCCGTCCCGGCTTCGGCGGTCTCAGTATACCGCAAACTGTAGCTTGAGGTATTAGTCAGTGGCAGTACTTACATAAACAACTGCTGCGAGCTCCTGCCGTACATTGGACCAGTCAGAATTGGCTTTTTCCGGGTTTGCACCATTGTCAAACACTGTAAATTTTGTACCCATCAGGTTAGATCTGAGAAGAAATGTGAAACATAAAAAGGAAACAATAGTCTTTTAAGACACACTTGAATTTAAACAGCTACATTATTGCACTATTTTTTTGCACATTTTATAAAATATAAAACAACAACATATTCTGTGAGCTTAAAATAGATAAGTCCTAAAGTCTACTTGTCAGGGTGTACAGCTTTTATGAGTTGTCAGATCAATTTTATTCGAAGGCAACATTAGGAAACTAAACTAAATCCTTCAATTGGAACTTTGCATTCGAGTTCTAAGCAGCTGTTGTCAGTCACAGTGAAGTTGTTACCTAACACATAATGTAAACAATTACTTATAACCTATTACCTAACAAATATAAACAATTTAGGTGATACTGTGCAACACATGTGCATTGTATTGAGTAAAAACAACCTTAACCAATATCCACTGGGCACACACATCTGTGTAAATGGGCAGTCCTATCCAAACCACAAAACAATTTCCCCCAAGTTGTCCAATAGGGATGTATATACAATTGGGTTGATTCACTAAAGAAGTTGAAAATCTTCACATAATAAATTGTGTAGATATTCACTGCAATTATCCAATCATGCGTAGATGAAATGAATAAAAAGGAATTTGTTTATCACATGATTGGATAATTGAAGTGAATATTAAGACAATTTAAAGAACTATTGGGAGAGTAAAATATACTCTTCCCAACACTTAGAGCCAGCATGCGACACTGCAGCTATCACATACTGGCTCTATCTACCGAGAACTGAGAAATGGTGTAACTGCTGATCACCCAGCTCACGGTCTCCTTCTGCAGAGAGTGGTGACTATCAATCACTGCTCCCTGCAGGGATTACCCCCTCCTTTCTGTTCCTCCAGGGCCCACTGAGGGGACAGACAGGATAGGGGGCAAGTTTAGCTTTACTTTTCTTTCAGTTGTGGGAAGATTCTCAACTCCTTCAGGGAATCCGCCTCCATGTGTCCTCTAGATAACTTATCCTTTCTATCAGGGGAAGACTAGGCACTGGGGAGAAAATACAACAAAGTATCCCTTTCACAAAAAGGTCCGGCCTACATGCACTCATATGCAGAAAAGAACAGGGATGATGTGGATGAATGGCATGATGTGGAGTAGTGAGTGTACAGCATAGCATACAGAATGGGACAGTGTGAAATAAGAAAGGTACAAAACAAGGTACAGAATGAAGCAAAGTGGAAAAATGAAAGTACAGAACAGCACACAGGATAAGACCAAGTGGAAAAGGAAATGTACAGCACAGTAAACAGAATTGATATGCTGAATACCTTAGCTTCCCAATGAAATTCTCTCCTCCCCGTGACAGATCTGTGGCATCAATAGAAATAAGGTAGTTGGAGGTCTTACTCTTCTTACGCTTTCTTCCAGCTAATAGAAAAACCTGAAATATCATAAATAAATAACTAAGCAAGTAAGACAAAAATAAATACATAAAAACAAAATATTCATGCAATGGTGGAATGGGTTATACTAAAATGGCAAAACATAATGAGAGCATTTCTAGGGAGTATAGGCACAAGAGTGCCTATACAGTACATAACAGTTACATAGTAGGTAAGGTTGAATAAAGACACAGGTCCATCCAGTTCAACTTATGCATGTTTGTGTGTGTGTGTGTGTGTTCAGTTGCACAATCAGCAGAAACAACAGGCATATTAACAAAATTGAGAGTTAGAGTAAACAAAATTGAGAGTAATGAGTGTAATACCAGTTTATGTAACTTGTGCAATATGGTTTTCAGGGTCACCTAGAGGCTAAAGTATAAAACATTTGCCAGGTGTAAATCCGGACTAATGCCATTCGCATGGCATTACCACCACTAAATGGCGTGGAGGAGCACAGCTATGTATTGGCACCATCTAAAGGTGGTAATGCCATGTGAACAGCATTTGTTTAGCTGTACACTGGACAAAAGGTTTATACATCAGCCCCCTAGTATTGTGTGGTACATTTGGGGTCAAATTTCTCAGTACAACTCCTCTTTTAGATTGTAAGCCCTCAGGGGCAGGGCCCTCCTTACCATATTGTTTTGAATTGTATTGTGATTGTAATGTCTTCCTTATATTGTAAAGCGCTGCGCAAACTGTTGGCGCTATATAAATACTATGTAATAATAATAATACAACTGTGTTAGGTAAAAGTAGAGGTTAGGTGCCATAGCTGGTAACAACAGTTACTTTGTTTGAAGCAAAGAAATGACATACAGTATATATAAGGGGTAAAATATAAAGCAATGAGGAAAACCCTTCCATTGGTAGGTTGTGGTGCGAATAGAGCTGGGTTAGGGCAAAGAAGGGAGAGGTAAGAAAAGAAATAAACATTTTTTAAGTCAATATGTCTCATACCTTCTTCTCATTATCCAGGTGTGCATAATAGGTTGGGTACCATCCCCTGTCCATTCCTTTTTTATCCCGTGTTACTTTGCATTTGATGGTGACCCCCTGAGGTGCTGGTCGTAGTACAAATTCTTCCAGATTATCCACTTCAATGACTGGAGAGGGGGGACGTTCTTCCTTCTGAAAAGACAACAAGCAATGAAAGCACACTTACAGTATCATTACAATTATTTATATAGCGCCAACATTTTCTGCAGCGCTGTGCAATCGTTTGGACAAGACAAGTAAGAAACACTGACAAGCATCATTGACATACAGAAACAGTAGGTGAGGAGGCCAAAACAAGCTTTGATTAAGGAATGTTTTTTCATCTTCTTACCTACACTAAAAATATAATGAACTATAACTACAGATATATTTTTCTGTAATCTGATCTGTCTTCCCCTTCTTTCTGAAATCAGTTTAAGTAATAAGGTGCAGAATCCTGGTCCTCTATGTTCAAGTAATAAGGTTCAGAATATTAGAATAAACAGTTACATCTTGGGTTTTGAAGGATACATGGATGATTAATATGTTACCATTTGACATTACGTTTTATATGAAAGTGAATGTCATGCTCAAACTATTTTCTTAGTTTTGGATTGAGTTGGAAAGGGTTTGAACCCATGTCTGTTTTTACTGCTATCTGTCCTGCTGACAACATTTTACCAGACAGGAAGTGAGGATAACTCTCCAAAAGCAACAGAGACAAATACAATGTTTGTTTGTTTTTTGTAGAGAAGGGGACTGCTAGAACCCCTGTGAGATTCTTATTTTTGTCTGTGTCCTTATTGCAAATATTTCCTCACTTCCTGTCTGGTAATACTGTTGTCAGTGGGACAGAAAGTGAAAGGAAATATCTGTAATGGAGCCCTGGATAGTAAAAGTCAGACAGCGGTTCTAATCCCTTCGCTAATTTTCAAACAAAAAATGTTTTTGGCTCGACATACACTTCAACTATGTTGTTTATTTAATTAATATATGAATATTGCTTTTTTGCTTAATAATGTACACCATTTAATATTTTAGCATGATTTAACATGTGCTAAGTGTAGGTAGCCAATTCCTCTTTGGCATTGGGATTGTAGTTACCATAGGACAATCAAGGGCCAGTGACTAAAGGCCATGAAGTACTAGCAGCAAATTGCCAGCAAGGGGATTACTTAAGAGAGTTTTCAGCTTCTGGTATGGCGTTGCTTGCCAGTAGATGAGTGTTTTCTCTCCTCTCATAAGTTACTGCCAGTGGGAGGATCACTAGGCTTAACATAGGCCAAATTCATTAGGGTATGAGGAACAGAATCTCACCTTTAGCTTTCAATTTTGTCCCATAATCTGGGAACCTTTGAACTTTTGATCCGTTAAGATATGAAGAACAGTATTTTTTCACCTTTAGCTTTTAGTGCGGTCCCATAATCTGAGAACTAGTTAGTTAATGTAGCATCAAAAATAAAAGGGGGATTAATGTAGAGGTAGACTGATATGAGTCACAAGAATCTCTGTTGCTCAGATGTTCACTCTTTGCTCTTTCTTTACAAATTCTTTATAGTTGACATATAAAGAGTCTAAATATTGCTTTGCATATAAACCCAATTGCATGTTAACTACTTTACTTTTAAGGCACTACTATGACCACTTCAATTTGTATATAAAAATTATATTTTATTGTGTACATTGTTTGTTAAACATATATTGCAAGGTTAAAAACATCAACATATATAGTCTTATTTACAAAACTGTGACATTGTATGCCTATCATGAAGCTGCACCTCCTCGGCTGGTATACAATAAATAGTTAACCAAGTAATTAGTATATAAACATGATAATTATAGATATTTTTCCATGGGGAGGTGCTCAACCCTTGCTCAAGAG